ATAATAAGACTTTAGTTCACATATTTTTAGCTTTTCTTAGAAAATACTTTTTTTTTATTGCGTCAAAAGGTTTTAAAATTTATTTATTTTTTATTACTTTAAAAATACACATAAGATGTGATTGAATGAGAAAAACGTCTTGAATTAGCATTTTATTCAAGTATTTGTTTAAGCAATCGATGCAATCGAGTGTTTAAACAAATCCCAAACATAAGACTCTGTTTTCATATCAATTTCTATTATAAATTTCTAACTTATTTATAAGCATAATATCGATTACAACACACACTTAACAAATTTCGTAAATATTAAAGTATTGGACTATAATTTTGAGTTAAATTCACGAATTGATGAGTTTAGTGAAGACAAACAGATGTTTCAAATTTGCAAATATATTCAAGAATATGCATCAAATCTATGTATAATGCTTCAAAATAAAACCGTGTATTATTCACACAATTCATTTGATTTTTTTGATACAAATTATCTTTTTTTATAAAATCTATAATTTTGTTGCTACTAAATACTACTCGTTTTTTAGAAAATTCCTGATTTTAGATATCATACATTGTATTATATTTTATGTAGTTTTCTCCAAATAAGTTTTATACAAATATAAGTAAAAAAAGTTGCCAGATATTGCGAAATTATTTGTATTAATATTGAGATTTTGGTCAAAGTTGACATAATTATTGAAATATATTAATATAAGAGATGTATATATTAATAAACATATGAAGAAATGGTTGAGAATTTAATAATAAGGATTGGTTTGAGATAAAAGTGATTTCTACAGCTATGACCGGACGCTATATTATTAATGTTTGTGGAGTTGAGCTCTCATTTAAATAGCATTGGGTTCGAGGCTAAAGAGACGAGTGGTTTGTATGTCAGACAATCAAATCTATGATGGATTGTATATCAAAGGGCCAACAAAATTAACATTTTTTTACTGATTATATGGATTTCATTTCATTTGCCAACTTTGTGTCTACAATATAACAAAAAATAAATTCCAATTTTCATTCGTTTTTATTACATTGTATATACATTTGTGTATTATTGTAGTAATGATAGCAAAATAAGATTAGGATTTAATTTCCCTATCTTTTGCCACTACAGTAGTGTTTTTTATATTATTTACTTTCATATCATTTGTAGTCTAGTGTTGTAAATAATTTATGCATAAAATTATATAACTTTTATCTTTTATATCATTTGTTATTCAAAATAAATAAAATTCTAATGTTTAGAGTAATGTAAACAAGAATTTATGAATTCTGTATTAAATACACTTACATTCAAGACATGCTGCTTTGCATTAATTGAATATTATTCTATAGCACACTCTACAAAATTAACATTGTAAATTAACGCAAAAATAACTAAATATAATATTGAAAAAACAATTATTTTCTACAAATTCTTTAAATTATGTAACATTTTCAATAGGTAACAATGTACACAAAATGCAATAATGTTTAATATTTGTATGTGTGTAATTTTTATATGTAATAAATCAAGTAACATTTAAATTGCATAAATTAATGAATATGTTTATAATGTAGAAATGTAAAATAACTAATGTTCACTATTTTGTGGTGAACTATCAAATGTATTCAAAATCTAAATTCATTCAAAATTCTATTCACAATATTCTGTAACAAAGAATGTATAGCTTTTTATGTTATATTCTTACACTATATCATCAGATGATATAATATTAGTTATATTAATAAAAATTTATTTTATCATTAAATTCGACCGTTTTTGTAGCTGTAATAAACATTTAAAGTTTTGTATTAAATTTTGTAAAGAGTTAGTATTAAATCATTATTCTGGTGATATAAATATCTTAACATAAAAGAAATTTTGATATATTAAATAAAAAATATTTCATAGATATTTCAATAATATATTCTTTTGAATATCGCTTAACTTAAATTAAATACAATTTAAATATTGCAAAGTATGATAATAATAATAACGATTATTTAAAAGTTTAATATGTCCTTAAAGTATCAAAATCATAATAAAAGATTTAATTTATTTGACTCTAACCTGTAAGTATTTATGTAACGTATGATGACTTGTATAAAATAATTGTATTTTATGTGATATTTAAAGAACTGAAAGAATTAAGAATATATGATAAAAATGACAAAACAAGTCATTTGGATATAAATTATATAATGTAAAGCATTCTTATGGAAAACAATTCTTACTTAAATCATTAAAATGATTTTATGAAATTGATACTAGCATATCAAATAAAATGCAAGACTTTCTATTAAATTATCGGAATTAAAATCAAATGATACTTTTAATAGAATAAAATAACATTACAAGAAATCATTGAAATTAATAATAGTTTTGTTTTGCGGCTAAACTTGATTAAAATTCATTAGAAAATAAATATATTCTGTGTACGTTATTGTATATTATGTATGCATGTTTTGCATAAATACTAAACCATATTTTAATAATAGACTAAAACATTTTTATTGATTATCTGACTCTGTGTTTCATTAATGCAATGCAGTATTAATTGTAACCATGAGTTTAGTTTTTATATTCGTTAATATATAATCAATTATTTATATGAAAAATACATTCATTAAGATTTAATTTATTTCTTAAAAATTAATTTTTAAAATTAAAAATTATTTATTTTTTCAAATTTATAAAATATAAGGTTATGATGCATTTGGTTTATAAATTTTATTAAGATATATTCATTCTAGCTCTAGTTTATTACCAGTTTTTATTTGAATTTACAGTAAACTATGATCATTTTTAGTTGTTTATTTTTAATTTTCAAATTTGAATTTGAGATTAATTTTTTTAAAGATTTTTTGTATATGATTTTGGCTTTTTGAAAGTTTTATTTAATGTTTTGGTCTATTTATATTTTTAAGTCTAAATAATATTTAATAATTAAACCATACCAATATACTTTTATTGATTTATAACATACACTCAAATATTGATTTGTATTTAAAGTATAATTTTCTTTTTTATAGCAATAATATAACTTAAATTAAATGTCAAAACATTTTTATAAAAAATAGAAAAACATTTATTTTAAAATATAAAAATATTTCTTTTTAAATGTTAATATAAATGTTGTTGTATATTGAAATATAACACGCGTTTAGGCTAACATGTAATCGATATAAATATCCAAAAACTTATATATATATTAGAAATCTATGACAAAATGTCTCACAATTCAGAATTTTGTTTAAAAAAGTCTACATTCATATAATTTCATATAAAAACTATTTCTCCAACACTATTAAATGTAATTTTGGAAATAATGTTTTGAAATTTGCCGCTAATATCAAGTTAAACAGAATTGAGTTTCGATTAACTTTTTTCTTGGCCTTTCATTTTTAGGACATTTATTAAAAATAATCTGATTTTCAAATTCCTTACGAATATAATTGAATTCTTGAAAATATTCCAAATATTTAATAAAAACATTTTGTTGCTCCCTAAATATTTCACACACAAAACTTTTTAATTTGTTTAACGCTCTTATCTTAAATTAATTATTCACACAATGAATACAATTAAAAATGAATATCATATAGTTTAGCAAAATTACAAAATTGTTTTTTGTTTCAACACTATAAATCAATCATTTATTTCATATTTATATATTAATCACAGATTAGAAAATTTGGGGTATTTTTAAGTCATGTGTGGCTTATGTTTAAATTCATTGACTTTCTATTACTGTATGTATGGATAATAGAGTAGAAAAGCCGATAAATATTTAATAGGAAAGCATATATTTTAGAGTGTTTTTAACCTCAATTCCCAACACATTAAGAAATTAGTTTTCAAATCTATTAAATATTTCTATTAAGCAAAATTAATTAATTTAAATCTAGCTTTTTGTGCAAGTAAAATATTATATATACTCTAAAAATTAAATTAATTTTCACATCATAGCATATTTAATTTAAATATAACACATTCATTTTAATGTTCAATAGTGTTGTCAACTGTTTCTTTGAGTCGCGATTTAATTAAATCAACAAAAAGGTTAAATCAAAGTCAAAATATATTGAAATCAATATATTTATCTGATTTGCAAACAATTTCGGTGCCGTTTATATATAGAGTAAAATTCTGAATTTATTATTATATTCTGTGTTACAGTTATTCATCATATCTCTGGTGTCATGTATTGAATACAATATTCTCTATATAAGAGCATTGAATATGAATGGCACTGTATTTCCATATGTATGTGTGTTTTGGCGTTGAATTGCCACCAAAAAATGACTACACTATATGTATACTATATGTACACTATATTTCTGACACCAAAGTGTAAGTAAGTTTCGTATGAATTACTTATGAGAGGAAACTCTCTGTTGAGGCGAATAACAGAAAAAGTCATACATTTCTGTGATAACTATTACCGGTATATCACGTAATCGTCGGTTATATGGGATTCTGTGGATAATAACAAACAGACGTTTTTGCCTGAGTTTGTATTTCAAGTAAAGATTTTGTGCCCACAAAAAAGTAAAATTATATCTGTGTTTCTCATTTTCGATGAAACTTTTATGTAATGTTTTTTCCCTCGATTGGTCTCATGAAGTACTCTACAAATGCTTATTCCCATAAATGACTACAATATGTTTCAATGGCTCTATATCTGCATACAGTTGCCGTTGTGTCAAATAATTTGATTGCTTTCGATCGCATCCCTTATTTCATTTCATTTGATTCAACATACTTTGCATCCAATCATTAATCAGTCCTAATATATCGACTCAAATTAAGGACTCAAATATAGCTCCATTTATTGATTAATAAACTTTTCATTTTGTTAATATTTGATTTATTTATTATTACTGTATTATACAAGTTTTGCTTTAATATGTTTCATATTAATACTACTAGTATTATATATGACAATAAAAATATCAAAAACAATATAAAACTATTCTTATGTTGATCAACAAAATTAATATTTAATATTAGTAAATCTCTTGTTAATATAAAATACTTATATTGCTCACAATAATCTAATATAAGCACTAAATTAGTGGTTTAACACAAATCAAAACGACTGGACGTTTAATGAATGAAATGATCTAGTAGAAATAAGTTTGTTTGCAAACCTTTGCGGCATTGGAAGAGTAGGGCTCATCGAATAACAACCATATTTTAGGCTTAATCTTCTGCCAACAGGACATCCGTCCCGACAGATAGTCCTCTTCGTGACCGAACTTTCGGGCCAACTCTTCTCCGGTCAGTTTGTCTGAGTCGATGTCCAACGTATCCAATATCGCCAGCGTCTGTTGTGTGTCTCTATGGCACGTGTATGTCATCCAACAACACGGCTCGACCTATAAGACGGCAATTAGTCTTAAATATTATCAATACTATACGACATGATAGCAAACACGAGAATCGTCGACAATTCCCAATCGACTACTGGTGCCGAGCAATAAATATATCAGTTTCCCATTGCTATGGCTATGAAATACACGTTGATAGCAGTGAAGTGATTGGTATTTGATTAAACTTATAAGAAATGCTATTTTTTAACTTCAAAATGATTCACAAAAAAACAATTGTCTCTTAAGCGTTGAATTTGTAATTTTTTATATTAAAAGTATGAATGCATTCACTGATAGCAATAAATACATTAATCTTTGGAAATATTTTGATATTCGCTTTTTATTTTTATAGGGAATTATATGCGATAACTATAAGTTATATTCCTTATAGGAAAATAATTTTTCAAATTCCTTTTAGAGACAAAAAACTTTTTAAAAACTTCTCATTTAAGAAACTTTTTTGTGTTGATATTAAAGTGTTTTTGTTTGTTTGCGAAAATCAAAATATATCAAAAAGGCTCGCATGAGATGTCATTTACTGTGCGGTCTATAATGAATTACAAGCATAAAACTGTTAACTCAAAAACTTAGATCTAATGCAAATTAATGGCTTTAATCTATTCCCTCGTAATAACATATATTAATAATTTGCCCAGAAAAACTAAAATCATAAAATTTGCATAAGAATAAGATATTAGACTTTTAAAGTGCACTGGAAATGCGTTTTGTATGAAAATATTTTCTCATAATTTTCATTTAAATTTTGCAAACATTTTATGATTAAAGGCATTCAAACAGTTGCGGAGGAAATGAGATCTTATTTCTACAACTGTTAAGGGATTAACCATAAAATCAATCAATATTACGAGTGATACTCGAGATTCTTAGGCAATGGTTAGGCACTGGTAGTGGCGATGGGAATGGCATTCAATGGCATTCGTCACATAAAGTCATTAACTCAATGGATATGATATAACTTATAGAGTATAAGGATATACAGTATAAGGAAAGTCCGCAAAAAACTTAATGAATGTCTCACTTGATTGGCGTCGAGTCCCCAAAACTCCAGTTCCTCCTCGAAGAGCGGTCCGCACACGTTAGTCGGATAATGAAGTTTTCCGGTGCGATAGTAGTTGAGTATCTGTGCGAACACACCCGGGTGTCGGTCGAAGAAGTACTCGTTGAGCACCGGGTCGTAGTTGGCGAGGGATTCGGTGAGTCGGGACAGTCGTGTGGCCGGAATCTTGCGCAGCGTGTTCTTGTAGGTCTCGAACCGGATTCCGCCCACATTTAGTATGACCCGGTTGTCCAGGTCCTGGACAGTCCGGTTGAATGTTTGCGCGTACATTATCAGAGCACTCACAGCGCCTCCCAATCCCTTTATTAACAATGATATGACGAGTAATGATAATAAGCACACAATTCCGACCACATAAAGCATATATTGATTGTGAGCAAGCACAGTTTTATTATTACATTTATGTCGGTATTTATATTAGCAATCAATTATTTATATTATCCATTCAAATGTATCTCATTTTGAGCCGCGAGTAGTGTATAAGTGGAGAGAAAGTCCTATAAATAAATGCAAAATCAAAATAATATGAATATTAAGTTAGCAAAAGTATTATTCAAAAGCATAATATATATTATATTTGATGCGAAAAACAATATAAGAATAGATTAAAAATGAATTAATATTTGGAGAAAATATAATTTGTATTCTTTTATGACATCAATTGTATTGCTTAATGAAAGTCACAATAAAATATGATTTATTAAATATTGACGACACGCCCTATTAATGCAAAACCAAATTAATAGAAATTGAAAGTACAAAGTAATAAATGTCTCTTTCTTAACACCAAAAATATTTTCAAATTAATAATTTATAGATTTTAATATTTCACAATGTTATATAAATACAGTTATATAAGTTATATATATTTATCTCTCTGTATCTATTAATATTTATATATTTGCTATATTAATCATAATTAGATATACGAGAAAGTGATTTCTTTTTGATGATGTGATTTAATAATTAACTGGCTATAGCTCTGGAAATATAATATATATTATATTTACAATCACAAAAAACTTAATGCTTTTCGAGATATGAATTTCGAGAATAGATTTGTTTCATAAGTTAATTAATAAAATTAAATAACACTCAGAGGGAGGGAAAGGGAATCTATTTTCTTATATGTTATCATCGTTTTAATGAAAATGTTTTCAAATGACTGCATATTTGGCAATAAAGTTAATGAAAACGATAGACTCAGTTAACACATTACCCGACGATTAAGTGTGCGATGAGAGTGGAAAACATTGTCATTAAAAGCATATATAATTGACTTTGAAATAAGTTTGAAAGTTTCGCAGTTTTAGATCCAAATCACAGATGATTATGAAATGTGTGTCAAAAACATAGTAAAGTTGTGTTACATTAGTGAGTGATTGTATTGAGGGATCATTTAAAGCCACTTCTAATCAAAAGAGACCCAAATCTAAAGCAGACAACAAACTGATGGATAAAAGGATAGCCGGGGACTGATAGCTGGGTTCAGAATACAGGTGATCATCAGTGAAGACTTTACAAAGCCATTAATGTGCACACAATTGCAGCTGTGATACACTTATACCAAGACAGACACAACACACATATAGTCTATGAGACACTACACTATCTATGAGCTCGACTTGTGTTTCATTGCAGACTCACAACACAACTATACATCTATTCTATGGTAACAGTGAGTGCACAACACATTTGTGGCATACAGTCACTCAGTCCACTGTATATACAGAGCACACGTAGATTTCCAATCGATTTACACTCAGAATACAGAATATATAGAATATACGATATATACACCATATATATACAGAATTACATCGAGAATCGCTTTGCACACAGTTTTGTGTTATGCGTGCTATGGCTATGACTATGGCTATGCTATGGGTTCTCAGACGTGGCACTACATCACACCCCAACCTATGTTTCGTTTTCTTGTTTCAATTTAAACAATCTTTTAAAATACAATACATTCTCTCTCTCTCTCTCTCTCTCTCTCTCTCTCTCT